GCATCCCATCTTCTATTTTCGTTTTATTACTTCATACAGTTTCGGCAAAATAGAATGGTTTCATGCTTTATCTTCCGTTGTAGTTTCATTAAAAGTCATTCATTTATGTTTCTTTCATGCGCTCGTTCCGAGTTCCAGTTTTATTCCCCTCAATAGTTATTTGCGTTATTGTTGATACTGTTACAGTAGTCCAAGGAAGATTTAGTTGTTACAGTTGAGAATGCTATGATGGAGAAGAAAGGAGGTAACTCATTATTTTTCTTTTGTCAGTTTAATGCTTTCCTTCCACGCATATGCAGACAATAGGAAATCAGAACATTTTTGGGATAAAATTATTTAAATCAGAGCATGATGATGTTAAATTGACCATCTTTTTTGGGATTCCAATCACTTTTTACATAATCTAAATTATTTTTTTTTTTCAATTCTGTCAGGACGCTCCTTTAACTAATACATTCTCTGGAGGTAATGATGTCTCCACCTTCTAGGTCTACTGAATCAAAGAAATCTCTTCATTCTTCAGGGATTGATGATGATGTTGAGCTTTCCAACTCCTGAATTCCCCAACCTTCAAGAAAATAAGGGTAAGAAGCGGATTAATTATGGGCCATTTGTTACCAAAGAAGATCAGATAGGAATAAATAACTACCATGTCTACCCCCAATTTCAGCTCCACCAAGAATCCACTCTGAAGAAGGAGAAGTGATCCAATTATGTATCAGCATTTGACTGCTGTTTCCTTTTGGTTTAATTACTTTATTATGCTTAAACTTCTTCTGGCTTTTTTGATCCTTATTTGTTTCGTGATTTCCATCCACTTTTAGAATGTCAAGTTTTATTTACCAACTTAATGCGCAATGCTATAGTTCCTAAGCAGCAGATTTATGGTTGACAGTCTCCTTGTTAACCAAACATTTAACTGATCATAAAAATGGAGTTCACCATCATTTTCATAAATAAATGTTAATATCTGCTGGCCACCATTACAGCTTCTTCTAAAAGAATCAACAATTACATCCTAAGGACATTTGGCAAGCTTTTATATGTTTATATAATCGTTAAATGCAAGAGGTAGTTGTAAGTATGAGCTTACTGTCACGGATGATATCTCCGTGACCGTGTAAAGACCAAGATAATGAACGGTCTGCTGGTTAGCCTCGCACAATATGGGTAAAAGGGGCGACATTGGCATTGGGGGTGTTCTGCCTCAGTCTTCGGATTGAGTGCACAACTGGTTGGGGGCTAGTGCCGCCTCCCTGATGAGCCCATGCCAGAGCGAAACCAGTGTGATCCGTATGTGGTAAGGCTTGTCCTGAGGATTATGGGGTCCTCCAGGATGCCGCACGGGCGCCGTGTGCTGCGCTAGATTCTCAGCCCGTGACAGAGTGGTATCAGAGCGGGACGTACTTTACTGTCGTGTGCGCGTGGGGTCCCACGTTGGGACTGGTCGGCCTCGGCACCGCTCCAGAAAGGCCTCCGAGTAGGTGGGTCCAAAAGTGGGGACTCGGGCGGGAAGGTTGGCCGTTGTCGACTCCACTCCTATTGGCTCGCTGGTGCGAGTGGGTCCGAAAAGAGCAGGACTCGGGTGGCCACTCAGCAGTAAGCTGATGTGTTTGTGGCAGTACTGTACGTACGATCCTTGGGCGGAGTCGTTCTCCCCTAGCACGAGGGCGTGCTAGATTGGGTGTGGGAGAATGTCACGGATGATATCTCCGTGACCGTGTAAAGACCAAGATAATGAACGGTCTGCTGGTTAGCCTCGCACAATATGGGTAAAGGGGGCAACATTGGCATTGGGGGTGTTCTGCCTCAGTCTTCGGACTGAGTGCACAACTGGTTGGGGGCTAGTGCCGCCTCCCTGATGAGCCCATGCCAGAGCGAAACCAGTGTGATCCGTATGTGGTAAGGCTTGTCCTGAGGATTATGGGGTCTTCCAGGACGCCGCACGGGCGCCGTGTGCTGCGCCAGACTCTCAGCCCGTGACAGAGTGGTATCAGAGCGGGACGTACTTTACTGTCGTGTGCGCGTGGGGTCCCACGTTGGGACTGGTCGGCCTCGGCACTGCTTCAGAAAGGCCTCCGAGTAGGTGGGTCCAAAAGTGGGGACTCGGGCGGGAAGGTTGGCCGTTGTCGACTCCACTCCTATTGGCTCACTGGTGCGAGTGGGTCCGAAGAGAGCAGGACTCGGGTGGCCACTCAGCAGTAAGTTGATGTGTTTGTGGCAGTACTGTACGTACGATCCTTGGGCGGAGTTGTTCTCCCCTAGCACGAGGGCGTGCTAGATTGGGTGTGGGAGAATGTCACGGATGATATCTCCATGACCGTGTAAAGACCAAGATAATGAACGGTCTGCTGGTTAGCCTCGCACAATATGGGTAAAGGGGGCGACATTGGCATTGGAGGTGTTCTGCCTCAGTCTTCGGACTGAGTGCACAACTGGTTGGGGGCTAGTGCCGCCTCCCTGATGAGCCCATGGCAGGGCGAAACCAGTGTGATCCGTATGTGGTAAGGCTTGTCCTGAGGATTATGGGGTCCTTCAGGACGCCACACGAGCGCCGTGTGCTGCGCCAGACTCTCAGCCCGTGACATTACTCTATATAAATACATCAGTTTACTCACAAATATCTGCATTTTGAATCATTTAACACAATTCAATCAGTTTAAAATACTGCACTTCTTATATGTATTCCACCAAAAATAATAAGATATTCTGTTTGTATATCAATTGAATATATGTAACCATTCTCTACACACCTGTCAATGTGAAGTTATTCTAAATCAAAAAATGCTGTTATTTCTCTGAAGTTAAATAATGGTTTTAATTATTAAAAGGAACTAAAATTTCAATTTCTATTGCAAACGTTGTGAAGTTACCACCTATCCTCATTTGCCATTTCAAGATAGCCTTTTCCATGGATTCAAACTACCTATATTCATTTCTACTTTATAATCATTCAAAGGAAGTAACAGGAACTTTCCCCAAGATAGATTAAATGATCTCAACTTCCAATTCATAACAAATAATCCCAACTTTTCCCATTTCAATGCAGCAATTGATAAAACCATCATCAGAGTATTTTAATCTACCGTTATGAGTAAAACAATAGCTCTTTCCAAGTTTATAAAGTCCAAGTAAATAGAATTGAAGAGAAACTCTTGAATATTATGCTAAAATGTCCCTCGTTAATCTAAGTATATATTTGTCTAACTGCAATACTCTCCTACACGCTTTCCATGGAGGGTGTTCAAGTGAACAAATTTTTAAAATTGTACTGATGAAGTGTATATTTCAATATATATTAGGCTAAAATATCCTCTACTAATTTCTGCTCAATTTTCCTCTTTGTTGTAACTTATCAGTTTATAATTTCGCAGACACTTGCTTCTAGGATAAAGCCTGTCCATCAAACAGTTTTGTGAAGATATATGTTTTTAATAAAAAGATATTTTTTATGACCGCAGAATGCAGGTATATATTTTATTAAAGTGTTCCCAGGCCTGTAGCACATTATCTTCATTCAAATATAATGTTCCTTGGCACTTGGGCTGATTTTCAATTTAATTGGAAGATGCATTGCTGCATTCTTCATATTGATATGCGTGTAGAGCTGGACAATTCAGTAACATCAATTATTCTCCATTTTCAATAAAACATTTATTATGATTGAAATGGGAGTTCCAAAGACTATTAGGAGTACTTTCAAAAATGAAGCACTGCTATTGTCATGTTCATATTACTGTAATGTCATCTCCTACTATTATTAATGGACAAATCCGTGTGTTCTTTTCATGTATTTTCCGATTGAGGGACTGGTTAATATAAAGGGTTAAAGTGTATTTTTAACCTTAAACTTTTTTTCAAGGAACAATTTTACTTCTGTATTGATAAATAAAGCAATTTTACCCTTAAATTATTTTTTTAAAGAGTACTTTTGCTCCTCGAAAAAATAATTTAGGAGTAAAATTGCTCCACTTATTAATACATAGGTAAAATTGCTATTTAAAGAAAAGTTTAAAGATAAAATTGCACCTTAACTCTGATATAAATTCTGTTAAGATAACTGATAATACGAATAAGCCTTTAATCTATTGCCTATGTGAATATAGGTTCATCAAGTTCATTGATTAATGAATAATGGAGAATCCTACTAATCCCTGTATGTGATGAGAGCTTGAAAAATATGCTGCTTGTGTTGTTCTTTGCAGTTTTATTCATACACTAAGTCAACATGAGTTCAAACGGCAGTATCATCAATACTTCAAAACTTCTCCTTCACTACAATCTACATTAGTTATCCTAAGTTTTCCGCTTGCTATCTCAATTGACAGCTAACTTTCCTTAGAGATCAGTTCTGAGAATTAGAAGAGCTGCTAGAAAATTAAATAATGAAAATGAATCCAACCAAAGCCTCTCTCTTATTCATCAGATGGTACTGTTTGTTTGTTTTAACATAAGCTGCAATGGCCAAACTGTACAGTGATAATTAATTGCTTCCTTTCATTCAGGTACACTTGGATCTCAACCATCAATAACAAAAGATTTCATGTGAAGCAATCACTGCAAGGGAAAGCCTTTGCAAGAGATCCCCTCTGGAAAACATCAGTTGGAACACTCCTTTGTAGCTTCCTCTCCGATATGTAATGACGTGTGTGTCTCAAGTAATATCTCACGGAGGAAACAAAATTTGATCCAATTAAGCAACCGGTCTCCAAACTCAATGATTCATTTTCAGGTCAATTCCACTTTAATTTGAATGTTCAAATTTTACCTCTCTGAATTTAGACGCATTCCACAGTTATCAGTAGTAAGAGTATAGAATTGCATTTTTGTAATTACTCCATGATTGAAATAATGCTTTAAAATGGCGTTAGGTGGGACTTCTCGTGACAAGTGGGAAGGGGAGTTCACGAAATTAATGTAGTTTTAATCAATTGAAGAGGTAACTTTAAATGGCAAATGAGTCTTTTCAACAGTAACTACTAATAGAAAAAAATATGAGAGCTGCTAAAGTGCTAAATTTAAATTGCCAGAGCATTTCAAAGAAGATTTTTTTCATAGATAGAGCAATTTTGGCTCCCATGCTTCAAGTTATGGATCAATTGAATAATTACATTTGCTTCAGATTCCCAAGAGAGCCAGTAATATACATCAATTCTGACTCAATATGTAAAATTGACTAAAATTCTGACTTTTTTATGACATATATAACAAAGAGTTCTTTAATACAATTGAGAGTTCAAGAATCGCTCCACACAAGTTGACTCTTAAAGTTGGAATTCCAATGGTATTAATGAGAAATATAAACCAAACAAATGGTCTATGCAATGGAACAAGAATCAGAGTCACTTTATTGGGTGACCACATTATAAAAGAAAGTAACACTAAATGCTTAAAAAAGGAGAGTTTATATCCACCATGGATTTAAATCCCTCAAAGGAAAAATTACCATTTCTTATGCGATGTTGTCAATTCCCAATTGTCCTATCATTTGCAATGATAATAAATAAGAGCCAAGACCAATTATTGTCAAGAGTTGGAATTTATTTGCCAAGACTTGTTTTCTCACATGAACACTTGCACGTAGCAATGTCTAGAGTAAAGAAGGAGGATGCCTCAAGTTCCTGGTACACGATTCTGAATTGAAGCCATAGTGTCCTACAATTAATGTTGTTTTCAAAGAGGTCTTCCAGAATGTAGACAGATACAAGAATAATAAAAAGAAATATTCTTGAATGTTTATTCTTACATTTATCTAATAATTTCCAATGTAAAGTGTTGATTACTGAGCATTTGATTATTTGTTTAAAATAGCTTAATTTAAAAACAATCAACCACATTGGTTAGATTTTTTTTTTTTGGTGTAAAACATTGGTCCGATTTTTGGGGGAAAAAAAAACTCAAGTCATCCTTTTATCAATGCCCAATGAAATATTGTTAGATGAAAATTTTGAAATCATTTTGAATAAATAACCTTCTTCAACGTTTTTTTAAAACGGAGAGTAAATCTCTTTGAAATAGAAAAATAATAATTTAGTTCTAAAAAATATGATAATGATGATGAAATCCCCAAAAACTTTTTTGATATTATGTGTAAAATTATTTAAATACTTATTTGTGAGATTATTTAAGTCATTTTAATCAAATCAAATTTACAAATACTTATATTAAATTTGTAAATGATATAAAATTAATTGGATTCATTGATAGAACTAAACTTGCAAAAATATATACCAAACTTGCAAATAATATAAAATTAATTAAACTTTATTAATAAAAAGTTGTGATTTTTTAAATTATTTTAATCATTAATATAACCAAACTTGCTAATACTATTATCAAATTTGTGAATCATATAAAATAATTGAACTTGCTGATTGAAGAAAATTATTAACAGAAAGTTGTAATTTTCTAAGTTGTTTTAATCATTAACAAAATCAAACTTCTAAATACTTATATCAAAATTGTAAACTACATAAAATTAGTTGCAAAGGATTACTAAAGTAATTTCACAAATAAATTTAATCTCAATAAATCCCTTAACACTTCACTGTCATTATCACACTTTGCATAACCAAATTACCATTTTTTTTATTTTACAGAAATTTACCTATCATTCTCTCTTTTTAAAAAACATTCGCTTCATTTTTTTCTTAATTTCAAATCTGTGCAACGGATGAAGTCTGGTTTCCGTGAGTTGCAATCGATTTCTAACATAACTAGTTTTTATAATGAGAAACAAGAATGTTAGAAATAGATGAACATGAATCACATTATGCAACTAATTTTATAACACCAAATAAAAATAATTGTAATAATACACCCTTTCAGGTTACATTTAATATATCAAAAATAATGAATTTATACCAACACCATTAGCACAATATAAAAGTAAACAAATATCTAATTCAGGAATATGGTTAGATTTAAATTGTAATTTAGATAATAATAAAATAATAGAAGAATGGGGAAAAACAACATTAATAGCATTAATAGAAAAAAAATATAGATATACAAACTGATACAGAAAGATTAAGAAGTAAACAAAGTATGATAAGTTATAATATTTATAGAATAATAGAATATTTAGGAATAAATCCTCATAGCAAAGTAGAAGAAGAATGATCACAAGTAAATATGATGAGAATAGTTAAAAATGAATATATGATTGAAGAAAAAATAAGAAAACAAGATATGTATAAAAATATAAAACAAACAAGAATAAAAACAGAAAAAATAAAAAAAGGTCAACAAATAATGAACAATAATATATGGTTCATACATGCATAAATAAAAAAATTAGAATTACAAATATTTGATAAAGAAAATGGAACTAATTATGCAAAGAAAAAAGAAAAAGAAATAAAATAAAAATTAAAAATAGAAGTAGAAAGAGAAATAAAAAGATAAAATGAAATAGATGAAGAAGAATGAGAGAGTGCAAATAGAGTTGCAGAAATGATGTCAAGAAATTATAATTATAAACCTAAAAAGAAAATTCAACAAATACCACAACCAAAAGTAAGTATAAATATGACACAAACAATAAATGAAATAGAAGATGAAATGAAAAGTCAATATGAAGAATTAGAAATAGAATTACAAAAATTATTAAAAAATGAAGAAAGAGAAGAATTAGAAAAAATAAAACAAGAATATAAAAATTTGATAAATAACAATGATGATGAAGCCTTTATAAATATGCAAATTCACAATTAGTAAATTATGAACAACCCTATAGAATACCTCAAAATTTTAGACCACCAAATTTAGATGATCCATCTTATAATAATAGAAATGCAGAATCAAGTAAAATATCAAAAGAACCAAAAGATACAAAAATGTTAGAAATAGATGAACATGAATCACATTATGCAACTAATTTTATAACACCAAATAAAAATAGTTGTAATAATATACCTTTTCAAATTACATTTAATATACCAAAAAATAATGAATTTATACCAACATCATTAACACAATATGAAAGTAAATAAATATTTAATTCAGGAATATGGTTAGATTTAGATTATAATTTATATAGTAGTAAAATAATAGAAGAATGGAGAAAAGCAACATTAATAGCACTAATAGAAAAAAAAATGTAGATATACAAACTGCAACTGTTACTAAAAGAAACATTTATAGGAAATGTACAAAACTGGTGGAAAAATAAAACCCATGAATTTAGAGAAAATTTTAAAAAACCAGATAGAAGTTACATAAATATAAAAGAATATTATGCGATAATTATAGAAAAATATCAAAAAATTTAATAAATGAATTTGTAGGAAGAACATTAGATATAAATGAAGTAATAAAAAAAACGCTATAAAAATATTACATAAAATAAAATTATGTTCTTTAAAATCAAAATATTTAAATGCTTTTATATGTGAATGTAAAAAATATTATTATGAAGCAAGATTAGGAGACTTAAATGAGGAAAGATTTTATTTAAATCTATTTTATAGAAAACTACCAAAATTATTATTAGATACAATATTAAAAGATTATTATAATATTTATCAAGAAACTTCAAAAGGAAATGAAATAATCTTTTATGTTTTCATTTATATAACATCATTAAAAACATTTTTGTCCAATTTGCTTGATTACTTATACTATCTCCTTTTTCTTCCTAATAAGAAAGGTACTAATATACATGACAAATTTCCTACTGGTATATAAAAACTTTCTGAAATTTTATTTTGTTCTACTTCATATATTTTTGTTATGATGTTCATTATGAAAAATTTTCTAACACTCCTATAATTGCTATGCTTAAATATAAATAATAGCAGTACTCTATATAATTTTTATCTACTTCTAATTTATTTAGAAATTCTATAGTTTCAAATCTTATTGATTCTGCAATTAATTGTTGTAATCTAGTTTTATCTATTTATAAGTTATCATATAAATAATAATAGGAATATAATCTTTGAAAGAAAGTAGTTAACATTATTTGACTTATTATTTGAAAAACTATTCGCCCAATTGCAATACTATCAACCAAACTACTATTCAACAAAATATTCAAACCAATTAAAACAAATAAGGAAAGCAAGTAAACAAGTAACTGAGTTAAACAACAAGAAACTTTAGAGATTAAGAAATTCATATTATCTTCCTCTTAACGTCATTTTGACCTTCTGCTCTGATGCCATAACTGAAACAACTGGCTATGAATTGCTACAGGATTTGACCGATAGTGATTTAGGTCATAGCAAAATATGAAAGGTTTTCAATCCTCTTTCATACTAAAATTAACAAGCCGACAGTTTCTCAAGATTAGCTATAGACTTTTCACAGAATCACTTCCTTCAGACCAGCACAACACAGCCTTCCTTCGTTTTCTACTGGAGGCGTAGCCATAGCAACACATAACCAGTAATTTCCCTTACAGGATCATTGCAAAAATCTAAAATTTTTGTTAAGCATTAGATAATAATCCCCCCTTAACCCCTAAAAAGAAATTACTTAACCATACCTGTTAATTTTCAATACTTGCAAAGATGAAAATAATTGAAATAAATACTTTTATTTATAGTAAGAGAGCAAAGTTATAAGGATGGAGGCAGAGAACTCAAGTGCTCAAGGAAGCTCTAAGGTTCTCTCAAAAGTGTGTGTTTTTTTAGAGATTACATGACTTTATATAGAGTTGGCATTACAACCCTGGTTACATGACCTTGGTTAATTTAACTCTAATAATTACAAGAAAACAAAACTACTTTTAACAAAAATAAAAAAGTAAGGAGACAATATAGGCTTAGACTTTTTGATAAAATGAAAAATTAAAGGAATTATTACAAGAGACAATATAGGTTTAGGCTTCTTTTTAGCTCTTAGACTTTTTCTTCTACTATTTTCTGTCCTGTCAACTAGTTTTTTTCTTTACTTGTCCGCAGATCAATCTCGAATATTCATGTTGATAGAAGGGTTTTCATAGTCTTTGTCGGTTTCTCTTTTTTCATCACGAATATTTACATTTATGGATAGCATATTCTGACAATACTTGACATATTTTCTTCCTTGTCCCTTCATCATTATCCATCGTATTATTTCTTAGTCTCTGGTACCAATTATTGAAGCTTCTTGAATTTCTGCTATTCTTTCCTACTGAGAAAATACAAGTTGTTGGTCCAGTGAAATATATCCATTGTTCTTCTTCTGCAGTAGTTGTCCTATTGAGTTCTTAAAAAATAATATGTACTTTTTGTGCTCTGATAGTGGAAATCTTATATCTGAGGTCTTCAACTTCTATAATGTCTTCTTTCTCTTCTTGCTCATATTTGAATGGTCTTCTTATTGTCCCAAATTTAATCAGATTAATTGGAGGATAAAATTTGTCAGGAGTTATTTCTGCTATTGTAGAGTAACACTAAATAAAGACTCAGTATTGGGTTACTATTCCAAAATAATGTTTAGCAACTTCTTTGATAGAGTCTGAAAGTTTAGATATTTCAGACATATTATTAGGAGGATATATTGAGTGGATGAGGCCATCACGAAAAAGGGTTTTTGCAAGTTCAAAATTAACATTTGGATAAATAATGATTTTGTTGAAGGAATAATGGAAAACATATTTAATATTATTGGTGTTAAGAAGAAGGAAATGATTGATCTTATTGATGAGGAATTTGAAATAATTATATTGGTCTAAGGTCTTAAAGGATGATAAAGTTATTGGGTTTGGACTTCTTCTCCTATAAGAGGTAAAAGTAGATGGACTATTTTGAGGTGTTCTTATCACTATTTGCACTTTAGGCTTTTGGGCTTCTTTTACTATTTGAGTGAATGGAACTATTGTACCAAGTCTAGTTGGACTATGAGGCTAAAATAATGAATCATGAGTTTGAAAAGATGACTCAATTACTTGTTTTACTTGTCTTTCAAGGGATTGAAATAATGGTTCCTTAAATTTCTCTAAAGCCTTCATTTTACTTGTCAATTCATTTACCTCATCTCTGAGATGAGTTACTATTTCAGATAATGCATATTGTTATTTAATTGTCCCACAAGAAGGCTCATATTCATCTTTAAAATATTTACCCTCATAATTACTTGGTCTAGTAGGGTCATTGTTAGTCCTTTGATCCTGTAGGTAAACCACCACCACTACTACTTATCATCATATTGGTCTCTCTTCTATTTGGCTCTATCTGGTCAAATAATCAGCAACAAAATTATTTTTTCCTTTGATATATTTAATTTCATAATCATAATAAGACATATTTAATTGTCACTCAATTAACATCTTATGACATAATTGAGTTGTTTTTATTCCTTTATTCAACCAATGCTTTACTTGAGTATTATCAGTTCTTATAATAAATCTAGTATTAACAATAAATAATTTAAACTTTTGTACAATTTTTATTATTGCTAAAAACTCTTTTCAATTAGAATGATATTTGTTTTGAGAATCATTAAATTTTTCACTAGCATATTTGGTTATTACTTCTTCTTTTTCATTAATGTGATATAAAGCTACTCCTCAATAATTTTCACTAGCATCTATATATATTATTCATATTACATTATTACTTATTGAAATAGTTAATTTGGACAAATTTTGACATAAATTTTTATCTGATTCGCTATTTTTTCTTTTTCTTTATTTCATATCCATATTATCTTTTCTCCAGCTAATTTACTTACTTTTGCTATTAATTTTAATAAGTTTGGAATAAAATTTCTGACCTGATTTACTAATCCTAAGAATAATTGAAGTTTTTTTTATTTTTAATTCAATCAGATTTCAATATTTTTTTACTAATATATTCTTGTAAAAACCCTTTTCAATTATGGCCTCATCCACTCAATATATCCTTCTAATGATATGTCTGAAATATCTAAACTTTTAAATTCTATCAAAGAAGCTATCAAACATTATTTTGAAATAGTAACCAAATACCAGTCTTTATTCAATGTTACTCTACAATAACAGAAATAACTCCTGACAAATTTTATCCTTCAATTAATCTGATTAAATTTGGGACAATAAGAAGACCATTCAAATATGAGCAAGAAGAGAAAGAAGACATTATAGAAGATGAAGACCTCAGATATAAGATATCCACTATTAGAGCACAAGAAGTACATATTATTTTTCAAGAACTCAACAGAACAACTACTGTAGAAGAAGAATAGTGGACATATTTCACTGGACCAACAACGTGTATTTTCTCAGTAGGAAGGAATAGCAGAAATTCAAGAAGCTTCAATAATTGGTACCAAAAATTAAGAAATAATATGATGAATAATGATGAAGGGACAAGGAAGAAAATATGTCAAGTATTGTCAGAATATGCTATCTATAAATGTAAATATTTGTGATGAAAAAAGAGAAGCCGACAAAGATTATGAAGACCTTTCTATCAACATGAATATTCTGGATTAATCTGCGGACAAGTAAAGAAGAAGACTAGTTGACAAGATAGAAAATAGTAGAAGAAAAAGTTAAAAAGTCTAAGAGCTAAAAAGAAACCTAAACCTATATTATCTCTTGTAATAATTCCTTTAACTTTTCATTTTGTCAAAAAGTCTAAGTCTATATTGTCTCCTTACTTTTTCATTTTTGTCAAAAGTAGTTTTGTTTTCTTGTAATTATTAGAGTTAAATTAACCAAGATCGTGTAATTAGGGTTGGAATGCCAACTCTATATAAAGCCTGTAATTCTGAGGCAACACACACTTTTGAGAGAAGAGTTGCATAAGAAACATTGCTATTACTCTTCTCTTTGAAACTGTGCAATAAGGACAAAACCTGACAAAGTAAAGATCACAAGACAACTCAATCAAAGACCTAATTCTCAAGTCGACAGTAAGCAGGTAAAAATTATGCCTTGGCAAATGTCATCTAGTATCTAATTCTAAGTAGGTAAAATTATGCAAAATTGAGAATAAGGTTAAAAATTAAACACAATACCTTAATTCTAAATAGTCAACATATGTTGACAAATGCAAAAGGAGCTATGAATGATTCATTATAGAAAGAGCCCATTATTGTAAAGAACAAAATCTTCATCAAGTGTGAAAACTACATTCTGCCATGTGAAAATATAACGAATCTACAATCTAATAAGCATCATTGGTAGAAGCACACAAATGTTAGACATAAAAAATTGGAAGAATAAAGACGGAAACCTAAGAGAAACTAAATGCAGTATAAAAAAATGTGATATAAAGAAATTGAGGGATGGAGGAAAAAAATTCACCAATGAAAATGTGGAGAATTTTGAAGGAATGAACTTTGAAGTGTGAATTTTGAACCTTGAATAGAGTCCAAAAAAAACAAGAGCTGTGAAGTCTAAATCAACAAATTTGTTTTGAACAGCAGCAATATCATGTCTGTTTGTGTATATAACTACAAATACACAAAATGAGGGAAAAAAATTGAGGGATGGAGGAAAAAAATTCATCAATCAAAATGTGGACAATTGTGAAGGAATGAACTTTGAAGTGTAACTTTTGAACCTTGAATAGAGTCAAAAAAGAAGAGCTGTGAAGTCTAAATCAACAAATTTGTTTTGAACAGCAATATTATGTCTGTTTGTGCATATAACCACAAATACACAAAATCTATTCCGCTTACAGAATGTCATTATGATATGTTTAATAAAAGTAGTCAAGGAAAATTAGTCAAACAATGTTGTAACATGCATATAAAAAACACGGGGACAACTTGAATGTGTATTGTAAGATAATTTCAACATGCCAAGTATTCAGAAGGCAAGTCCATTAGCATGCAATTCATATAGGTAATAAAATTTGATTGCCATAAATTAGTTTAGATTGCTAAAATATAATTGATGAACTTATCCCACTCAATGAGGTAAAAAAACTTAACCCAATGATGCTTTTTGAAATAAAAAAAATGCAACAGAATTGTGCCAAACAACGATCCCAAAAAAGACACTTGTTTTGACAACCTTGACCATAGTACAAAGAAATGACTAATTCCCACACATTGTCACTTACCTATCTTAAATCGAGAAAATTGATATGTGAAATTAACAGTCAATGACCAGAGCTAAAGTTAAGTCCTCATATCTTAGCAGATCTGATGCTGGCATTGACACAAGGCTGCCTGTGTTTTTATATGAACTTCTTTCCAAATAGGATTGAGCCTAGCTCCCTTTCCGATGTTTACTTTACTCAAGTAACTCATATATTAATTAATAAATTAACAGTTAGTTTGATTTGCAAAATGCTAATTTCTTTCAACAAAAAACCCCCACCCGCAGTAGCTTCTCACCCAGAGCAATTGACATGTACATGCATATGTATGCCATTGAAGATTATGAAAATACAAAACTCTGCTTGGAATCAAAGTTCAAACGTACACTTCAGGAAGTAGAAATTATAAGGAAACAAAATTTTCATTTAGCAGTATGTGAACCTCCTCTACATGGTCAAGTCTATTTTGAGGCAATTCTCAGAAATGGGCCAAACAAAAATTCATCAAATGCCCTTGTTTACAACCATCATATACTATTAGTTTACATTTTGCAGTGTAATTCCAGCTTAAATTGATAGATAAATTAGTAAACTTGCACTCAATCATCAAGATGGATTTTTATCCTTGACGTGAAGGATCATATTCTGGTAAGATACTGAAATTCATGTTATTTCAACTAAGAAAGGGTACAAGTTAAACATACAGCAAAGCATATATAGAGATGGAACTCTGAACATATCATATATGAACAACATTTTTCTAAGTATAAACAGAAATTACCTTAATGAATGCTGATGCTGCTAACTCAGCTATCAACCTCGGATCTCAAAGAAATGTAGCTCTCGATGAACCTCAGTCTATCCCACCCAGTTTCTTCCTTTTCCAGAACACCATCATATGTCTTCTTTGTCCTCCTCCCCTTTAATTTGCCTACACCCAAGACTCTAATGTACCGTTATCAACACATAACCCATCTCTTGAAAACATTGAGGAGTTAATCTCATGTACAACTTAGAAGCCCCCCAAATAACGAAAACCACTCCCTCCAATTCCCCCGCTCCAACCCCATAAATAGTAAAGAAGGGTCAAGCTCAGATGATAAATCACCTAAATAAAACCTAAAATATACAACTTAACTCCTTCAATCTCCTCAAAATGCAGTCATCAAAACAACAGCCAGTAATTTAAACCCACAAGGAAAACATAGAGAGCAGATAATGTGGAGTAAAGAGTAAAGAATATGAGAAGCAAAGCAGTGAGCCAAAGAAGGGGGAAAAAAACAAAAGATACAGGCGCTTGATTCAAATTAAAAATGGATGGAAAAATCAAACAGAAGAAAAAATAGGAAACCAGAACGCGAGGATTACTAAATAAAAGTAGACTAAGAGAACCTGATCTGATAGGTGACATCCTTCTTCGTGATGCCTTTTGCTGCGACGGAGTCGGAGACCTCGTCACCCGTGACTCCTTCAGGCCACTGTAGAAGAGTGACAAAATGGGGGACGAATACGAGTGGGGAATTCTAATTCGCTGATGGAGAGAGAGCAGACGCGATGTTTCAATATCTCATAAGATTTCTCGAAGATTCGAACGCTTTATGTGGAGAACTGAGGATCGGACGACAACTGCAGTTTTTTCCGTTCTCTCCTCTGTAGGGCGCTCGCCGATGAGCTTCCAATATCCAAGAGAATGAAAGCATGTAACCTACTTTTTTTTTTTTTTTTGGTCAAGCATATAGCCCATTAACCACAGCTGATTTTCCCTCCCCGATGACACTCACCAGTGGGCCCCACAACCAAGCAATCTACAATTTTAACGACTAATCCCATCCACTTAGGCCTAAAAATTCCCATCCACTAATAAAGCTCAGTGTCTTAGCCCATTTAACACTGTTTAAAAATTGTAGTTCTCCAGTAATTGATTATTATACTTTACACTATATAAAAGGCATGTTTATTGAAGATTAAAAAATAAATAATTTTTAAATAATTTAAAAATTTTATAAAAAGAGATTTATTTTATAAAAATCTTATAAAAACTAAATATATATTTTATATTTAATTATAATAATAAAAAATAATAATTAATTAATTATTTTTAAATTTTATTATATTTTTCTTGATTTTTATTTTATAAAAGTAATATACTGTTATATTACTTTAAAATTTTATAATATTTTTACGAATCTGTTCGTTTAAAACACTATTTTTCATTTATCGTATTAAATTATTTTTAAAAATTATTTAAAATAATTTTTTAAAATAATTAAAAATTTATTTATTAAAAATTTTAAATATTTTTAAAAATTTAAACAACATGATGAGAACTTATAAAAAAAAATTTTTAAAAACAAATAAGCAATTTTTTTATTAAATAAGTTAAAAGAAATGGATCCAAAATGAAGTCACGATGTAGCACGGTAAATAGACTTAGAGATTAAGTCTCTATTTATCATAATTTAGCACCCTTTTTTTTTTTTTCCTTGGCCAGCAGCACTTTTGGAAGTGGAAACCCACACTTGAATTTTTGTATATTCCCCGAAATTCCCACTAAATCCGACTCAGAATTTGTCGTTCATTTCGCATTCCGCTCCAAAAGCCTCCTCCTCTGACACAGTCTTTTTGTCCAATAGTGTCTCTTTCCTCAACCGGGTCTTCGCTTGTACTATAGCATTGACTGAGTAATACTAAGGTTTAAGGCAAACCACAAGATGGTCAGTTTCAGAATCGGAGGCTTTAGAAAATCTAATCACTATGAAGACGTTCTTGCACTAATGGCCTGCTAAAAGGTATGGGGGATTTTCTGCTAAGGTTTGTTGTTCTCCGTGTGCTTTTCTTGGGTTTGGTGGATATTACTGGTTCTGAATTTTGTTTATTTTGGTTTTGATTTCGCTGGGTGTGGATGATGAATTTGTTTTGGATTCCTTGCTTGCCTTGTTTGCGTTTTTTTATTTTTGTTGAACCAGATGGTATAACTGGATGCAGAGAATTATCTCCTCATTCATAGACCTATTCAACTAATCTCTCTAGGTCCTAGAATATTCCCCTGGTGATGGCTTGTGCTAATTCATGTTGGCTGTTTGAAGTATTTTTGGTATGTGAATTATTGAATAACAAATGGATACATAATCAGAGTGATAACAAAATGACAAGAATATTTCAGTTTCTATTGAAAATAATCAGAGTAATTTCTTATGTAAATCATAAAACAGAAAAAGTAGTGATGTTTGACTGTGTTTAAGGCTTTTTCCTTGTTTTGATAACTGGAAACATGCATAAATGTATGATGGTTGATGGTTCACGTGCACTTTTTTGGCTTCAAGTTTATTATACACTTCTATGTTTTTTGTTTTTTTTTTTTTTGAAAAAAAATATCTGTCTTCATCTCATGCCTTTGTTTTTAATGCTTCAAAAAGTGCACTTGTTATAATAAGGATGGACCTCATTGTTATTTCTGTAAGTTTTCTGGTTGTGGTGGACAATTTGCAAACCATATAACTTTTGAACCCTCAAACAGCCATAAAGTAAATCATGTTGCATTTGCAATGAATGATCATCCAACATAGACATTTGCATGCTTTGTGATGGCATTACTCTTTATCAGAAGGTTTCCTATCATCTAGAACTAATCTCTCTCTCCCCCTCCCTTTCGAAAATGCTAGAAAAGAATTAGTAAAGCAACTGTTATCTCTAACTGTCTTGGGTGTTCAATTTTGTCAGTACTAGCTGGTTGAAGTATTGGATTATCTTTGTGACAACTTTTTGACAGCGAACCACTCTATCATGAGGCTCCTGCAAGATTATTTGTTTGTTTGAATGTCAAGAGAGATCAAATAATGGTTCATGGAACTGATTTAGTTACCTTTGGAGTCTCTGCTGGTTTGGCCTTCGGAATTTTGATAGCTTGTCTTGTATGTTTGGTCATAAAGTGGTATAAGAAGCGTGCTCATCTTAGACATTGTGCCAATGAGCGTAGTCAAGCAACTCTTCCAATACGCACAAATGGATTCGAAACAAGCACTGACTTTAGTGCTTCTCTTACGAGCTCCATAGCTGCTCCAAGTTCAGACAATTTTCAGAAAGCTTCTCATTTTTCTTGGTGGAAACGTTCAAAGAAAGATCAGTTTGCATCCTCGTCAGGCATTCTTAGATACTCATTCAAGTATGTAAATTTTTTTTACTGGTGCTAAATTTTATCCCTCTTTCTGTAATCTCTCTTTTGGTTGGTATGTTGCTGTGTTGAAAATGTTAATCATGTTGCTGGCCCTCAAGATGGTCCTGTCATTGATAAATGATAACTACCATTAATATAAACTATAAAAAGAAAATATATAGTAAATAAGATCAAAATATATAGAATTTTTTATATGTGGAATTGATAAGTCTGTGTTGTCTGCATAACTAAGCTTCTTAATATCTTAGGGCATCACCTGCTTGGCTATATTGGTTTACAATTCGAATTAGTTTTTTTTTTTTTTGAAAAAAAGTTAGAAAGAGAAAGTAGGGCAATGAATTATCAATTGTGGACAATTTTTTTGGTAATGTTATATCTAAAGGTAAACTTCCCCCTTCTAGAGAAATTCAGAAGGCAACACAAAATTTCACAGCTATGTTGGGACAAGGATCATTTGGCACAGTTTATAAAGCAACAATGCCTACTGGCGAGGTGGTAGCTGTGAAGGTGCTTAGTACTGATTCCAAACAAGGGGAAAAAGAATTCCAAACAGAGGTATGAACAAAAGCATCTTGACTTTAGTATTTCTTTCTTTTCATATATACTAATTTGTATAGTATTGTGATGGAGACTTGGTGGTATGGGATGTCAAGTCCCACATTGAGTAGTATGGAATGCTCAATGAAATATATAAGTGGGATAGTTTTCCTACTTCAACAGCTAGCTTTTTGGGTAGGGTTCCCCATCCCACTTAGGTACCCATCATGTTGGAAGAGACTTTGTTAATTATCATAAGGGGTCACTCTTGTGTGATTATATTAGGACTAGTGAAGTTAGTTTTTGTTTTCACATCTCAAGGATGTCTAAATTGTAACTTGGTTACAAGCTAGGCTTGTTGAATTTTTCATGATCTAATAAGATGTTATTGTAGGTACTTTTGCTTGGAAGACTTCATCATCGGCATCTCGTAAATTTGTTAGGATATTGTGTAGATAAAGGGCAACGCATTTTGATTTATGAGTTCATGAGCAATGGAAGTCTTGAAAGGCTTATACATGGTGAGCAAAAGTTCTCTTTCATGATGATCTTAAGTTAACTATTTTATTTTCCCCTTTCTATCTGTGATTGTCCATATCCATGTGAGATAATAAAGCTTTTAAGTTGGTTGTTGAGGATCTAACACAACCCTCCTCCTTTACCCAAGCTTGGGACCGATTATAAACATAAGCAAAGTTATTTGTAATCAAAAGGTAATAAACTTAAAGGAAAGTTTTATTGAACTACTATAAGACTTGTTATATTATATGATAGTGAATTTTGGGCTTTAAAAGGATAGCAAGAATATAAAGCTAGAGTAGTAGAGACGAGAATGTTGAGATGGATATGTGGGTATACACATAAAGACAAAATCCGAAATGAGCACATATGAGAAAAAGTGAGCATAGTGTCTGTTGAGGGAAAAATAATAAAAAATCATTTGAGATGATTTGGACTTGCCCAAAGAAGACCATGGAAAGCATCAGTGAAGAAAGTAGAACAGAAAATTTTGAACTCTATAAAGAGGGGTAAAGAAAGAGTAAAGAGAACACTTATGCAAGTTGTTGATCAAGACGTCTTAGTTAACAACATTTCTAAAATTTAGTAAATGATAGAGCACAATAGGATAGTACAATCCATGTTGCTGCCCCCACTTAGTGGGATAAGGCTATTTCTTCTTCTTCTTGTTGTTGTCTCTGTGAAGAATAGATAATCTGGCATTGTTATGAGATCAGTGAGCCAAACAAAGCTGCAACACAGCAAGCCCCAGAAATAAGGGAAAGTAATCTGCAAAAGAATAATTAGAATGAGATACTAGAAATCCTGTTTTGATGAGTTAAGAGACAGGAAGTTCTTTCCTTTTTTTTTTTAAATGAATTAGTTGAAAAATATATTTTAACATTTTTCTATGTTGTAGATTTGTTTTAACAAAACAATTGAAGTGCACGATATCTTGAATATAGTCATGCAATGATTATTAAGTATATAATTGATTTCCCTCCTTTTCGTCTATCTGAGACATACAAGAGTAGAAGTTTTCTCTGATTTTTTTTTACAGATGTTACATTGTCTCTAAGGTGAAAGTTCATACTGTGCATGCATCTAGGTGAAGAAAAGGTCTTAAGTTGGAATGAAAGGCTGCAAATTTCTGTTGATATTTCGCATGGAATTGAATACCTTCATGAAGGAGTATGTGCACTGCTATCTGTTATATTATGCTATTTGAAAATGCATTTGTTTAATATGAAAATGCATGGAACAGGCAGTCCCGCCCGTCATACACCGTGATTTGAAATCTGCCAATATATTGTTAGATCACTCAATGCGAGCTAAGGTAAGCTTGTTTTATGTACGAGTCCTTTCTAATGCAATAAATTTCTAATGTTTTTTTTTTTTTCTTAAATTGGTGTATGAGATTAACTCAAGCAAAAAATCCCTCCCTAACACTATTAAATCTATTTGTATCATAAAAGACTTCACAAAGAATTGCTTTTGTAGA